TTTGTTTACTCCCCCCCCCCCCCGCCACTTATCTCCCTCTCAGTGACCAAACAGTCCTGCTGAGCACAAAGTGTCAGGGACCCTGACCAGAGTGAAACTTGGGGTGCTCCCACAATGTACAAAGGCATTCATTGGTATCAAATGAATGTTTCCTTTGACCTAAAGGTTATTTCCTTTTGATTTTCAAAGAAAACATTCCCATGACCCTCTCATTTAAAAATAAAACAAGCAAACACATGACCCAGAGGAATATGCCTGTCTCTGATAAGTGGCCAGTCCTGGGCAATATATAGACACATCCCTGCCCTGCAGCTGATCACCACACAAGTTGTTTAATTCCTGAGCGTTGTGGAGCAAGGACTACTTTCTGCCTTCTAAAGGCTGGAGAAGTGAAGCAACTCATTGGCGGATGGAACACGTCTCCTCCCAAAAAACAGAGGGCTAAGAGACCGCCAGGGGGCAGAAGAGGCACACTCGAGGCCCGACTGCGCTTGCGCGGAGCCTGCGGCGCCCCAGGACGGGAAGTAGGCGGGGCCGGCCCAGAGCAGCTCGTGGGGAGCACTGCGGCAGGCTGGCAGGTGAGGCCCGCGGGGTGCTAGGAATGAAGGGCGAGGGTGAAAGACTCGGGCTAGGGTGGCGGTCAGGTGGGGGCATGCGGGTGAAATGAGACTGAGGACGAAATGGAGAGGCGAGAAAGCACTGAGGCCAAGACGGGTTTCGGGTTCGCGAACCCAAGGGAGGGGGGGATAGCAGTGAGCAAAAGAGCGGGGCAAGCGGGACCCTACGGAACGAAGGCAAAGCATAGGGAGCTAAGGACACGGAACTGGGAATCCATTGACCCCATGGGATGTGACTGAACCGTGGTCCAGGAGGGGGCTGAGTTGTAAGGCAAAACAGAGTACCAAGGGGTGACAGTCCTCCGTTTTCAGGGATCCCTCATTCTCCCCGCGCCCCAAACATGTGGGCCAGGCCCATGGCCCAGCCCTCAGCCCGACCAGTGAAGGCCCCCTCTGGAACCACATTTTAAACCTGAATGCCGGCGCGGTGGCGCTCGTCCTACGTGTGTTAAAGCTAGTGTTTTAATTAACGCCTGGCTTGGAGGCTCGGACTGAAGCTGTGCAGATTGCGGTAGAGCCTCAATCATGAGAGCCTGGGGCGCCACCATTACAGCCGTGTGGCCTCAGGCCAGCCCCTAAACTCTCTGTAATGAGGAGAAAAGGCACCAGGCTGCAGTCTCTGCATAGAGACTGACTTCTAGGGAGGCCCAACGGAAGGCGGTGATCTCCTCCACCAAGGCCTTCTACTTCGAGGCCCCTTGAGTAACAGATGTCTTCACCAGTATGCCCTGGGACAAGTTCTGTGAACTGTTCCCACCTGAGGAACCGAATGGGAGCCCATCTCTACCTCGTGGTCTCTGTGCTCATACTCCCTTGTCAAATTTCACCTTTTCTCCGCAACAAACTGGTATGGACATGGCCAAGTCACTGAGCACCAGAGTCCTCAGCTGAGTCCTGCTATGGTCACATCTCTCGTTTGTGGCCTGAGAGTAATACTTTCCTCCTAGCACCTGGTTTTCTTTTCAGCTGCAGTTTTTGCCTGATGACATGCACGGTTTTGAGAGAGAAACACAACTAACAATTGTTTTAAAAAAACCATAAACCTCCCATTTCCAGAATTCCTTTGTGATGTCACCTGAAGCCAACCTTGTCTTTAAGGCTGTCTTTGCTATCCAGTGTGCTCAGGGAGTGTTTTCTATTCCTTTCTGATAGCCCCAGGCCTCAGGCTGCTTATCTCACACTCAGTGGCCATTCCGATTTGCTGAGCACAGAGAGCCAGGGACCCTGACCACTGAAAAAGAAAATGGCCATGTAATAATACAACTGTCCTTGTTGCAGCAGAATGGCCCATTAAAGGTGGTTAAAGTGGGGGAATGGGCGTGGCTGGGGTAGAGAGCATCCTGAGCCTGCAGAGCCCTGGGTTGAATCTCCAGCACCAACAGAGGAGAAGAAATACTCTTAAAGTGGGGTTTCTTTTCTCTTTTTTTGGTGTTGTTTTGTTTTGAGACAGGGTCTCAGGTAGCCCAGTCTGGCCTCTGACTCATAATGTAGCTAAGAATGACCATGGATTTGTGATCTTCCTGCCTCCATCTCTCAAGTACTAGAATTGCAGGTGTTTACCACCACATCCAGTTTTGTATATGAACCCAGGACTTCATGTCTTTAAGACAATTATCTACCAACTGAGCTACACGCCCAACTAGCACCCCACCACCCCTCTGCCCTTTGGTTAGTTTGTGGTTGATTTGGTTTGGTTCTTCAAGACAGGGTTTCTCTGGAACTTGCTCTGTAGACCAGGCTGGCCTAGAACTCCAAGATCTGCCTGCCTCTGCCTACCAAGTACTGGGATTAAAGGCATGCATCACTACCTGGCTATGTTTTCTTTTTTGAGACAAGGTTTCATTCAGTAGCCCAGGCTTACACCAAACTAGTGGCAATTCTCCTGCTTCAGTTTCCCAAGTGCTGGGATTATAGTCATGAACCACTATGCCAGGCTAAAATGATATTTTTTATGTATATCTTACCATAATATTTATAATAAGCATTTTAAATATAAATGAAATCCTTTCCGTGTATGAAGTAAAAGATTGGTTAAGTTACACCAAACTATTCCTAACAGTCAATTACAAATAGAGAAATGAGTCCTGGGACTAGGGATAGAACTCTGTTGGTGGATTACTTACCCAGCATGCATGACAGACCCCAACACCACGTAAACCAGATGTGGTATACACCTATGATCCAGGTACTGGACAGGTAGAGGTAGGGAGGTCACAAGGTCAGGGTCTTAGGAGCAGCTGCCAGCTCATAAGTATAAAGAGGCACCAGTCCAGAACCAGGAGGAACCAGCCAAGTGTCAAATTTGGCCAGACCAGTCATGGCCATGTAGCCATGGGAGTCAGGAGTTTGGTGTCCCTCTGACCCTCCCCATAGGTCCTTGCTTAGTGACTTGCACACATTCATGCACATGTCCCTCTCATCCTGAGCCCTTTGTTACTTGGACATCATTGACTTCCAAACAGCCCCATACCAGGCCTGGCACTTCTTTTCTGCCCCACCCCTGTTCTCCGCAGACTCCTTTGTCCAGCTGCTGACTACCAGCCAGCTACTGCTGTCCCCTCCAGTGACCCCAGTGGTGCCATGCCCCTCACTGGTCCTTCTGCTGCTGACTGAACCTTTCTCTCTGGGTCTGGGGTTCCCAGAGCTTGGTTGTTTCATGTAACTTGGAAAGGCATGCATCAGATTTAGGAGTTGATTAGAAAGAGGGAACACAAGAAAGAGCCTTGCTCTTACCCTTTGCCTCAGCTAGACCCCACAGAAGGAAAACTGGCCTGGTTCTTCACCATGGCCCAAGCCACACAGTGCAGAAATGGCATCAGCAGGCAGAATTTCTCTGGGTACTTTGTAGTGAGTAGTCAGTACAGACTCTGAGAGCAAGCCAGCAGACACGAGCAGAGCTTTGCACAAGAGCTTGAGCGTAGTGTCATGCTGTGTGCCTTGCCACCCAAGCCCCACTCAGCATGCATGGTGCAGATAACCTTGGGGCCCATAACAGATCCTGAGCCTGGAGCAGAGTGCAGTGAGAGCAGGTGTATATCAGGTACATCAAAGGCTTGGTTCTAGAGTGAGTGCTACAGTGCAAAGAGATGAGCCCAGCCTCCAAGGAAAATAGGTGGACTGGGGAAGGACTCCCGATGCAGGAAGCAGCCCAAGGGCAAAGGTTAGAAAGAGGCACCTGCCTTCTGAAACATCTAGCAGATACAGTGGCAGGCAGGGTGATGCTGTGGGCAGGATTTCGCTAGTTGGGGCTTCCTCTGTACTCTGGGATGTGAGCATGCTGTCCTTTCACTTTGATCCTAGTCATAGCTTTGTGTCAGCCCATTTAGCACTGCTGGAGATGTTGGTGCTTCTAGGTCTTAGAGAACTGCATGGAAAAATCCACATGCTTGTCACTTGCTTGGGGACATCTTTGCAGGATTCACACTTCTGTCCCTGCATACTAAAAGGCTAGAGCACTTGGTGGATTGGATACAATGTGACACTTAGCCTGGGCTTCTTGGAAATTAATGCCATCTCTTTGTCTCCATGTTCTGCAGCTCTACCTGTGTACAAACTGCCTACTACCTCTGTTGCCCATCTCTCCAGCCCCTAGCCCACAGCACACTACTTTTCTGTCCTACCTTTGGGTTAGAATGGATCTGTCTCATTCCCATCCTAATCTTTCTTTCTTTGCTTTATTTGTACTCTATTTTTTTTACCTGCTCAATCTTTGTAACCCAGGCTACATTTTATTAACTTGTAAGTAAATCTGAGTGTAGACAATGAATTTTAACTCTAACAATATAATCTTCAATAAAAAGTGCTGTATCTATATTTTTGTTTTTTACAAAGCTACTTTTAGTACTTTGGGATATGCCCCATAGGAATGAAAAAACCCTGGGAAAAAGTATCCCTTCACCTCCCAGAGGGAGAGAGGCTACCTGAAGGAAAGGAAACACAGAAAGGACCCACTGCAGAGTCAAGACAAAGGGAATATGCTGGAACCTGTGAGCACCACAGGAAGGAAGAGGAGCATGATGGGACTGACTCCATACCCACAAACGATAGGAAAGTTAAACATGAAGCCTCTTAGTGTCCTCCTTCTCATTTGCCTTTTTCTGCTTCTGCAGCAGGATCTCCAAGTCCCTCTGTTTGCAAGTGGCAGCAGAAAGCCTGTCATCTCTTATTCCCTTAAACTAAGTTGTTCTGCTGTATCATACTCTGCTGGTGATGAACTCAAGCTGCCTGCAGTAGACCGCAGGACAGCATCCTGCCTCTGTGACATCCCCTCACTCTGTCCAGTGTTGGAGGTATTTGGTTCTTGACACAGGGTCTCTGTAGCATGGCCTAACTTAGAAATTGCTATGTAGACCAGAATGGCCTCAAACTTGTGCAACCCTCTTGCCTCTGCCTCCTGAATACTGGGATTATTGGCATGTGCCGCCACCAGCACACAGCTTCTGTGTGTGTATTTTTAAAACACATTAGCTCTTGATTCCAGCCTCTGAAAAAAGAAAGAGGTGTTGCGTTTTGTTTGCTTATCACTTGTATCAGTTGCTTTTCTTGTTGCAAAAGAATACTTGACAAAAGGGACTTCCAGAATGAAGGGTTTGCTTTGGTTTTCAGTTTCAAGGAATACAGTCCATGATGGCAAGATAATCTTGAAGAGGCAGCTGGTCACATTGTGCCCACAATTAGGATACAAGAGATGGATGCTGGGCTCAGCTAGTATACCTCATTTATTAGTATGGGACCCCAGCTGATAGAATGCATTGACCTTCTCACTTAAAAGAATCCCTCACAGACACGACTTGCTTCTTCAGTGACTCTAGATCCTGTCAAGTTGACAATAACTGTCACACGACACCTTTCCTTTTGTACCGTAAATCCTATTTTGATTAATGTGACACTGGAAGTCCTCCCGCATCTACTTCTCTTTGTGTTTTGTTAGTTTTGTGTTGTTTGAGACAGTCTCATGTATCCCAGGTTGGCCCATGACTCTGCATATAGCCCAGGATGGTTTTGAAGTTCTGCTCCTCATCCCCCTACCTCTCAAGTGCAGGATCACAGGTGTCCACTACCACACCCAGTTTATGTTATGCTGGGGATTGAAGACAGGGCCTTGTGCAAGCTCGGCAAGCAGTCTACCAACTGAGATGCAGCTCTATCCCCTCTTGTGTTTTCTACTTTTTTCAGTACTGGGAACTTGGTTGTAAGGGAGGAATCGTGAGGACAGCCTTTGCTGCAGTGTGCGCTTTGAGTTCCCTTTAGCCCAGCATTGCTGCAGCATGTGCTTTGGGTTCTCTTTAGCCCAGCATTGCTGCAGCATGCACTTTGAGTCCCCTTTAGACCTGAAGGCTTTCCTTGTTCCTGTTTCACTTCTCAGCCCTCCCTTCAGCAAAGTTTGGAGACACCATCTGTGGTGGTTCTAATGCCGATGGTTCTAGAAGTCTCGCCTGTCTTTCTACCTGGTCCATTTAGTGTTAGAATCTGAAAGGCCTCAAGAGGGAGATGCTCCCCAGGTTCTCCTACCTAGAACTCGGGATGCCCAGAATCTTATACTCATTTTATCACCTTAAAGATCGCCATTTATTTTCTCTGATGGTAAGCACATTGGACTCTTTCCTAATGAAAGTTCCTAAACCAGAATATTAAGTAGAGTCCCCAAAGGTGCCGCATCCTTGGGGAGCTAAAGTGAGTGGACAGCCAAATGAGGCCTGGGGTATGCCTGACAAGAAGCAGTGACTGCAGAGAGGGTCTGTGTGAGCAGATGCTGGCAGGGAGATTATCTGCCTGTTATGATGGAAAGTGGGGCTCTTCTCCCACACCAAGGGAGCAGAGGGAGGGAGGGACCAAAGCACATCACAGGGCCGTCATAAAAGAAAGGCAGAAGGGGTTGATGTAGATGTGGGCTGGCCTTGCTGCAGGAGACCTTGGGCTCAATTTCCAGCACCACAGAGGAAGAAAGAAATAAGACATAAGCAAGAGACACTCAAGTATTATTTGAGACCGATGGTTGTAAGGGAAGATAGGAGTCTGTTTGTGTCCTCAGGTATCTAAAGGGCTGACAGCCTATAGGACCAGCCTGCAAGGCTTGGATATTGATTATAGAAGGGCTGGTTGACTGTGCTGGAGGTGGCTCTGAGTCAAATGAGAGCTAAAATCCCACCCCAGGGAAAAGGACAGGGACAGCTATTGACTTGCAAGAGTCTTGGGCATTTTGTGGCTCAGGCAGGCATTCCTCCAAGCCCTGTTCTCATCCTGAGACCTTGGACAGGGGCCTGCCTACTCCAAATCTTGGTGAAATGGGGATTTAGCCTGGCTTTGAAGAGCTTGGGGTCACACCCAGGACCTGACAGCTACAGAGCCCTCAGTGTCCTGGGTATGGGAAGAGGCTGGAACTCATGTCCCAACTTCAGAAGCCTGGGGTGTTCTAAGCCCTTAACGCACACTTCCTATTAGAGAGCAATGAACAGACCTGACCACATCTCAAAGGCCCCTTATCCCTGGCTAGCCCTCTGCTTCTCCCCATCAGGCAGCCCCAGAGGTACCCTCTTGCTCCTAGTTTGCTCTATCTCTCAAGTAACAATGCCCTGAGAGCCCATGTGCATTGGCTCTTCTGTTTCCCACCATCTCTACTGCCTGGCATATGTCCCTTTCTGCCAGCTGGTCAATTATTGACATGCTGGCATCACTTCTTCCCTGGGTCCTCCTGGCCACTGGCATCCTGGACATCCTGAGATCTGGTTAAACCCCTTCACCTTCACCTATTTTGATGACCTGGTCCTGGTGTCCCTCTCCTGCTTGCCTCTGGTCAGACCCACCATTCTGCAGGGAACATGCATTCCCTCTGTCACTTCTTTGAAATGTCTTCATGGCCTGCTTCTGATACCATCTCCTGAGGCTGTTCTGTAGGCATGCATGTTTCTCCACTTGAACCCATGTCAGGATATTAAATGGGATTACCACTCCATTAGCTTTGTTCTCTGATCTATTTAGGCCCAGGGCTTTTTAAGGAACCTGTCTCACCTTGATGCTGGTGAAAGAGACAAAGCTGGGCACCTGTACTCCATGTTGTACAGAAACTGCCATCCTGTGATATTCTAACTCTGACATCTCTCCCCAGAGTGAAGACTGACTGGAGGAGACCATCTCATCCAGCCTAGCTGCAAGCCCCCCGGGATGCACTGGGCATGGCCTCTGCAGCCCCACAGAACAGCAGCCAGATGGCCTGTAACAGCGAGATCCCAGGCTTCCTGGACACCCTCCTCCAAGATTTTCCAGCCCCACTGAGCCCAGAGAGCCCTTTGCCATGGAAGATCCCAGGGACAGTGCTGAGCCAGGAGGAGGTGGAAGCCGAGCTAGCTGAGCTGGCAATGAGCTTCCTGGGCAACAGGTAAGCCTGGGCTACCTCAGGAGGGAGGAACCTGAGAGAAAGAAGCAGGGTGCAGTGTCATCTTGTCAGGTGCTGGCCTTGGCCTCCGTAGGTCTTATGAGAGTGGCATGGTCACCCCTTATCTGCATGGTCCATTCCAGCAGAGTCTGAAAGTTCAGAGTGATAGGCCCTGTTACTCACTGCTTTTCCTCCTGAGTGAGCACTGAGCAGCACAGACCAGGCCACTTCACAGACAGAAGACTCATTCAGCATAGCTCTTAGCTGTCTCAACATGACTGGGAATGGGGTGCTTTTGGATTTCTTTTGTTTCCTTTCCTTATTAGGTCAAGAACTTCCACCATCTCGTTTAAAGGGAAAGCTTTATGGTTTCTCTTCACTGTCTGAATGCATCCTCACTACTCCTGTGCTGTGCAGCTATTACTGAGTCAAATAGGAGCCTTTTGAACACTGGTACTAAGACAGCTGCTGAATGACTAATGGATAGGTGCACTGGACAGACATGGTTACAGTTCTCCGTAAGACAGGCACGTGGCTAAGCTTCCATCATGCCGCTCATAATAGTTCGCCTATTTCAAGTTATTTCTTTCTTATTTCTGCAGTTGGGTTTTTTTCTTTTACTAATTTTATTTTATGTGCATGAGTGTTTTGCCTGTATATATGGATGTGTGCCACATGCTTACCTACGGATGGTTGTGAGCCACCCTGTAGGTGCTGGGAACAGAACCCAGGTCCTTTAGAAAAACAGCAAGTGCTCTTAACCACTGAACCATCTCTCCAAACCCATACATTTTTCCATTTAATGTTTTCAACTCACTGTTAAAAGTAATTGAAGAGACAGAAAGTGCAACTCTGAGATAAGGATGCTCCTGTGTAGATATTCCATGGCTGCAGTGACAAAGTATTATAGTCAAGGCAGCAAAAACAGGGTCCTTTGGCAGGTCTAAGGGCCAGAAATCCAAAACCAAGGTACGAACAAGGCCTTGCTTTCTCAGATTGTGGGGAGATTGTTCTAGAACTTTCTGATGGTGATTGCTTAGTGCTCCTTGGCTTTTAGACTCAGCTCTCTGGTAAATTGCCTCTACTGTCATGTGTCATTCTCCCTGTCTGTAACCTCACTTTGCATGGGTATGTGTCATCATTACCTGTGATGTGAGCCTGGTATATAATCTGCATTGTATCAGCAGTTCCCCAGCATTCACAGTTACCATGTGTGTACACATAGTTACTTTGTCACAGGCCCTCTTGCCTTGCTCATGTCCCCACAGCCAATTTAGAGTTGGGGACATAAAGGGCTTTTTTTTTTTTTTTTTTTTTTTTTTTTTTTTTTTTTTTTTTGTGGCCTTTGGTTTTTTTGGAATTCTTTTTGGCTGTCCTGGAAATCACTTCGAACTTACAGAGATCCGCCTACCTCTGCCTCCCTGAGTGCTGGGATTAAAGGTGTATGCCATCACCTCCTGGCAAGGGTTTCTAATACATTGATCCATTGGCTCTTTTTTTGGATTTTAAGTTGTATTTCCTCTGAGACCATCCAGAAGTCATATCTCTGACCTCTGGGCTTTGCACTTTTTTTCCTTTCTTCTCTCCTTTTATTATGATTTTATTGTTACATCTTTAGATCCCTGAGCAATATAAAACTTACACTTATCTAGATGTAGTTTTCATCCTGTTACATTGTAGGCTTCTGGTAACTCTTCAGGTTGCCATTTCCTAGGCACAGTATCCTCTAGCCAAATAGAAGAGCTCCACTCCCAGGACCAGAATCAGGACTGACATTTGTAGTGTGCTGACAGAGCTGGGGGCCTCCAGAACACATCCATGGGTGGGTCCCTGGAATAAGGTAGAAGCCTTGTCCAGGAAGGAAGTGCTGGTGGCTAGAGGCCAGGCATTGTCTGTGTCTCCATGGCTGGAAGCTGCCTCCCTGCCCCCTACAAATGTAGCAGCCAGTGGGCAGGAAGCTTCAGCATGACCTCACCAGCCCCAGATGAGCAGGTACCCTTTCCCTGCCTCTAAAGGAAAACCCAGTGCCTGGCAGGAAATGCCTCAAGGCGGGGAATTTGTTCTCGAGTATTTGGGGTGGGGAGTGTGGCAAGAGTGGAGTGGAAATGCAAGGGGGGGGGGGGGGAGCCCGGGGACAGCAAGCTAGGCCAGGGCTTTATCACTCAAGTTCACCCCTTCTCAGCTGCTCCTTTTTCAAAGGCACTTCCAGAGGCCTCTCTCCAAGTCACTCTTTTTGGAAAAGTTTGTCCCATTGTACAACGACTGTCAGTAGCAGAGCCTGGCAGTACTGTCATAAAATCTCAATGCAGGAGGGTTGACAGCTCAGGCCTCAGGGTATAATTGAAGGGCCTAGGTGGAAACCTTGGCTCAGAAAGTAAAAAGAAAGCTGTGACAGACTTTTGCCTAGCCTGCAGGAGTCTCTGGTTCAATCCCCAGTTCTCTAAAACTAAAGGCTATCAGTAGATGGCCCATCCCCTTAGGATATGACTCATCAGCCAGGCTCTGAAAGGTCTTTGTTCTTCTCAAAGCTGAAGTGTCAGCCTGCCATGATGGTGCATGACTGTAACTCTAGGTCTCTACCTAAAGAGGCAAACAGGAGAATTAGGAGTTCAAGGTTAGCCTTGGCTACATAGCAAACTTGTATAGGCCTGGACTACATGAGATACTTAGGGCTAGAGAGATGGGTGGTTCAGTGGGTAAGAGTGTTGTGCAAGCCTGAAAACCTACATTCAGATCCCCAGTAACCATGTAAAAGCAGGACATGTCTGCATGTATATGTAACCCCAGTATTAGGGCATAAAGACAGGCAGATCCCAGGAGCTCAGTGGCTTTTAGGTTCAGTGAAAGTCCCTGTCTCAAGGGAATCCAATAGAGTGTGATAGAGCAGGACATCCACTATCCTCCTCTCACCTCTGCAGGAACATGTGCACGGGCACACACATGCATGCACATTTACAACACATTTCTTACACACAGAAAGAGAGAGGGATGATGTAAAAGCCAAGCATAGTGGTTCACAACAATAATCCCAGCTGAAGCAAGGAGGATCACAAGTTTGAGGCTAGCCTGGGCTATATGGCTACTTCAAAGCCAGCCTGAGCTACAAAGTGAAACTCTCTCTCTCTCTCTCTCTCTCTCTCTCTCTCTCTCTCTCTCTCTCTCTCTCTCTTAAATTAAAGGAGTTTTAAAAGCCAGACTGTCAGCCATGAAGACTCAGCCGGATGCCCTTTGGAATAGGCACCCTGGGCTAGAGCACGCAGTCTAGCTTCTGGGATCCCCCACTAGACATGGAGGTGGGTTCTAAGGTTGAGGTGCATCCTAGAAGCTTTTGAGGCCCCAGGAAGAGTGACTCCTCTGCCAGTGACTTAGGACTTCCATTTTAAAAAGATCCCCATGGCTCAGAGCCCCCACGGAGGGCAGAGCAGCCGTGGAGAGGCGCATGTCTTCAGCCCACAATCTCCACTGCCCCTGGCTGCAGTGGACTTGTCTCTTTTCCAGGCGCCTCTCTTCCTTGGTCCCTTGTCCCATTTTGTACTTCTGCCTGTCCAAGGCCCCAAGGAAGCTGACATTTCCTCTCTTCTGGCTGCTATCAGTGTGAGGTGATGTTCCTTTCCGCCCTCCTGTGCTCTTCATTCTTCTCTGACTCCAGAATGGTCTACATTCCTCAGAACCTTTCTTCTGTGGTCCCTCCCCACTCCACCAACTCTTCCTGGAACTGGGCCTCCCAGGCTTCATTCCTCCAGGGCTCTGTGTCCTGCCAAACCATGTTCCCACAGCTTCCTAGGTCTCCTGAACTCTACAGAACCTGGCTCCCTGTCCCAGCTGGGCTCATTGTGGGGCTCCCTCTCCTCCTGAGCCAACTGCTAACATCAGATACCTTGATTCTCTGTCCCCTCCTCTGACCCACTCTGGATCAGCTCCCTGCACTGATCTACTCTGTCTCTGTCAATCACCAAGGCTCCCTGCCCAGCCCTTAGGCCTTGGCCTCTTTAGACTGTTGTCACCAGCATTCATCATTCAGCCAGTCTTCCATGGGCTCAAAGAGATCTAAGATCAAAACAGACCAGAGTTCCCTGTGGCCACAGCCTGCCCCACTCCCAGCTCCCTTCCCCACAGCCCCAGCAGCTCAGAAACCCTGAGCTGTACAGAGAGCATGGCTTCTACTGGGCAGCATGGGTCATCCGTCAGAAGGCAACACCTCTTACGAGCAGTTTACTGGGGCGGTCATCCCAAAGCACACAGACCAGACACCATTGTCAGTCATCGCTGTCTCACAGGATGGAGGCCAAATGGAGATGAAAGTGTCAGCTTGGCTGAGCCCTCCTTGAGGTCTGCAGATAATCATGGGCATTCCTTGGTGTGTAGGTTCACCCCTATAACCCTGACCTATAGCTACATGGCTTTCTCCTCATGGGTGTGTCTGTGTCTATATTTACCCCTCTTCACAAAGAAGCCAGTCATACTGAAGTGGGGGTCCACCCCACTCTACCATAATCTCATCTTTGCCATCCTCATTGAACCTACTTACAAGATTGATCCCATCTGAGGCAATAAATGTTCAGCCTTCAGCATATGAATTGGGAATACAGTTTATCTCAAAGCATGCCCTGGTCCCAAGGGTCACCTTGAGAATCAGGCCGGATTCCTGACCAATGTGGGTCACATTCCTCAAGGATACCTTCCCAGCTGATCCTATCAGATGGTGTGCCTCTGGTGTTGTGTAAACATTCATTCCAGGACCCTGGAAACAGATATCAACTGCTTGTAATGACACCATAGAGAGGGTATGAGCCATCATCTCCATCTCCAAAGTGGAAGATGCCAGCCCTAGACTTCAACTGGGAGCTGCTCCAGTCTGCCTCTCATGTCTTCTCCCTAGGAATGCTCCCCCACCGTTTGCTGCAGCTGTGACCCACAAGGCAATTTCCCAGCTCCTACAGACAGACCTTTCTGAGTTCAAGAAGTTGCCTGAACAAAAGGAGGAAGAGGAAGAAGAGAAAGCCCTTGTGACTTGTGAGTTCCTCTCATATGTCTCTGAGACTGTTTAGTAACTGACAGACTCAGGTTGACACTAAAGGTCAGTGCCCAGGGTGCTGTCAAGACAGCAAGGTCAAAGTACAAAGAAAATATGACATGGCAGCAGAAAGCCTGCAGTGGGTACTGCCCAGCACCCAGGTCAGAGCCTCCAGTGAGACAGGCATCTGCTGGTACCAGGCAACACCTTGTCTTCTTCTTATGCTTCAGAACTCTTAGAAATGAATGATGCTTGTTCAGCTTTACACATGAACCCAAGGTGTTGCCTCACAGCCACACAGCCAACCTCACCTGTGCTTGCTGCTCTCCCTCAGCTGACAGGAGGTCCTCGGCCGTGTGGCGTGTCCACCCTTGTAGAGGAGCAGCTGTTGTCGAGGCCCCCTGCCTTGACTTACCTTAGTTGGGACCATTAGATGTCAGCACTCAGTGACCCCATAATCTTGAGGTGGCAGAGGCTTACATGCCTGCTGCTAGAGGAGCAGTGGTGGGTTGAGCCCTGTAGTACATCACAACCAGGGGGATCCAGGGACTGGAGTGAGTGCCAAGGCCATTTGACAGAGAATTCACTTGTAAGAATACAGGGCTCTTTCTTACTCTGCATGACTCTTTCCTAGTCTTTTGCCAAGGCGTTGGTTATTAAAGACCAACCAAAGGTGCCAGGAAGGAAGTGGCGGCTGCAGGAATGTGCCGCACATCTGTAGAGCCATGTTTTCCAGACTGTAGAAAGCAGGTTCTCCTTCGCTGCTGCTTTGCTTACTTTAAGTTCAGCATTAGCACGTGTATAGAAGGAAAACCAAAGAACACAATAGAGAAAGAGAAGGAGAGAAGAGAGGTGAGGAAGACATGATGGGACAGGGAGGTTGAGATGGGGGAAGAACAGAAGAGAGCAAGATAAGAGATAATATAATAGAGGGAGACATTATAAGTTTAAAGAGAAATCAGGCACTAGGGAAATGTCTGGAGAGCTACAAAGATGACACCAACTAACAATCTAAGCAACAGAGGAGAGGCTACCTTAAATGCCCTCTCCTGATAATGAGATTGATGACTAATTCATATGATATAGTATAGCCTTCATCCAGCAGCTGGTGGAAGTAGAAGCAGACACCCACGGCTAAACCTTGAACTGAACTGAAATCCAGTTGCAGAGAAGGAAGACTGATGAGCAAAGGGGTCCATACCAGGCTGGTGAAACCCACAGAAACAGCTGACCTGAACAAGGGAGAGCTCTTGGTCCCCAGACCTGATAGCTGGGAAACCAGAATGGGACTGATCCAGACCCCCTGAATGTGGGTGTCAGTGAGGAGACCTTTGAAATCTATGGTGCCTCTTGTAGTGGATCAGTACTTTTCCCTAGCATAGGAATGGACTTTGGGAGCCCATTTCACATGGAGGGATACTCCCTGAGCCTAGACACAAGGGGGTTGGCCTAGGCCCTATCCCAAAGGATATGACAGACTTTGAAGACCCCCCTATGGAAGGCCTTACCTCCCCCCCCCACTTGGGAGCAGAAAGGGTATGGGATAGGAAGGGAGTTAGTTGGGGGGGGCAGGAAAGGAGAGGGAGAGGGACCTGGGATTGACATGTAAAATAATTTTCTTTCTAATAAAAAGAAAAAAAAAGAACACAGCAGAAGGAAAAGAAAGCTAGATGCAGCCTCTAGCATTTGTGCCTACCAGCCATCCTCCCCACCTCTTATTTCTGGCATCCTCCACAACTTCCTGCCATTCTCATCCCAGCATGACCTTGCCCCTGTGCCTCAGAGACAGCTACCCATAATGACAGGCGGCCATTGTTCTCTCTCAACCCAGCAGACTTCCAGCCTGGTGGCAGCTGCCACCGGGGGCCCCACAAAGGAAGCACCCCCACCTTATGCCTCCAGCGAGGAGATAGCATCACCTGCTGGTAGGAATGAGAATTGCAGCTGACAAGTCCTGCCTTCTACCAAGGCTTGTGGAGAAGGGAGGAGCCTGTCCCAACCTCCCTGTCTGACCCAGAGCTGCCTGCATGCAGGCCTAGGCTTGTGGCGTTAAACTCTTGTGGCAAGTCTATAGTTTCCAGGCTGTTCTTGCCCAGCTATATCAGCACATTCTGTGAGGCTGACTGCCACAGGCAGACACGTTGACTACAGCATCTTCGCCCACCTGCCAGCAGCTTCCCTGTGACTGTTGTGAAAACAGACTTTCCAGGCAGTTCCTAAGGCTGAGACGATAGCCCTTGGCCAGAAATCAGGATAGGGCTCCAAGAGCCCCAGGCTGAGCATTACTGTAGGGCTTGCTGCCTCGTTTTTTAATTGAGCAAAATTCAGGTCCAAACCTGTTGCTGGAAATAACAGTGTAACCTACAACTGAAAAGGAGGCAGCCCAGGCCTAGAGACCCCGGCATGCTCAGAGCTTCCTAAATACCAGCTGTTTCCAGGAGCAAGGAGACCACAGCAGCACCCAAGGCAGGAGTATGAGTCTTACTTTCTACAGAAGAAAGAATGAAAGACCTAGGAAATGGCGTGGTTGGAAACAGGCTGGATAAGGGGCACACAGGTCCAACAGGAGGTTGCACTGGCTCACACTTAGAGCTGTGGTCCCTAGGTTGGGCCTAATAAAATCCGTTCTCCAGCTCCTCAGCCTGCCACTCCCACAGCTGTTGCTAAATGCTTGAGTGGTGCACTGTGCTGGACATGATGCTGCAGGAGACTGTAGATGGTGGATTCTGGTTGGCCTGCTCTCTTTGCTTCTGTGTCTCCCTCTGTGCTCCTTCTACTGCTTCTCTTTTCTCCCACAACCATACTTCTGACTAAGAGCACTTCTCCCAATTCTCCTTGTCCCTCTGTTGTGTGGCCGTTGATGCTTGAACTCAGTGGTTTTTGGTTACCTGACTTTGTGCTACCCTCTTAGGCGATGGCTCTGACTTATGTGTACATGCCACAGGACCCAGACTGCAGGAGGGCTTTCTGCATTGAGATGAAGTAAGGCCTAAAAGCTCAGCCTGGAAGTCTCCTTTGAACTTGATCCTTGGTGATCTCTTCTTAGAAGCTAGGCCTTGTTTTTCTTTTAAAGTCTGCATCAAGCTTACCAGGTCTGACCATCAGTAGTGGCTTGAGGCCTGCTGGCTGAAGAAGCAGCCCAGTTCGAGGTCACATGGGGCGAGCACTAGTAATGGGGAATTGGGAAAGTATTAAAACATTGTACATGTGAGGATTCAGGGGGCCACATGTGCAGCTCCTGGGGTCCTACTGCCTGTGTTTTGATTGTGCAGAGACCATTTCTGCCTTTTTTTTCTGAAACTAAGTGATTTTTTTACATGTACTTGTGGATAACTATATATGTAATTTTCTGCCATTTTCTCAATTTAAAATCATCATTAATAGTTTCACATTCTTGTAAACTTTGTAATGTCTATTTCTGTGTTGCTGTGTAGTTTTTTCGTTTGTGGTGCTGGGGTCTAACTCAAGCTTTGGGCATGCTAGCAGAGGCTTCTGTCATCAGGCTACATCCCCCAACCCTAACTGGATTTTTTTTTTTTTTTTTGGTTGCTTGCTTGCTTGGTTGGTTCAGGGCTTGGGTGGGGATGGAGGAATGGGGAGTTGGACTGTTCTGTTCCATCCTTTAAATGAACTTCGTTTTGAAATAATCATAGGTACACATGCAGTTAATTATGGAAGCCAATAGCCAATGCAAAGGTTTTCCAACTGTACATGACCCAGTTTCCTCCTTGGAACATATACAAAACTGTAATAGTTTGTCACACACAGGGTCTGAACATGGTCAGACACCAGACAGTTTCCTTATAGAAAGAATCCTGCATGTCACCTACAGGCCACCCTAACACACCTCCCCTGCTATACCCAGTCCCCAACTCCTGGCAGTTTTCTCCATTTCAATGATGTCACTTCAAAGCAGCCTAACATTTGGGGAGTAGCATCTTTCATTTGGTGTGATTGATTCTCTGGGACTGACCTAGCTGGGCACTTGTCAGTGCTTCCCTCGGTTCTGCTGCTGAGCCCTCACCCAGGTCTAGCTGCCGAGCCATCTGTAGGTTGGAGGGAATTGGGACAGACTACAGATTTGAGCTATTACAAATGAAGCTAGGATGAGTCATGCAGTGTTTTCGTGGGAACGGTCCTCATTTTTCTGGGATTCATGCCCAAGAGTACGGTTGCTGGCTTAGAGGATAGTTCCGTGTTTAGTTGTGGAAATCTTTTTAACAGCAGCTTAATTTTTCATCAGAACAGGCAGAATTCACTTATGCCTCTGTCAGTATTGGACCTAAAGTATTCCTAGTTAATGGGCAGTTACCAGACATTTTTGTCACCCGTGACAAGCTTTCTTGTATAGTTTATAGGTTAGTGTGCTAAGCATGCCCTGGTTGGTGAGGTGGGACCCATGAAGGCTGTTGAGAGGAGCTATTTAAAACCTGGGAACATGGCAGGAAAAGAGTACAGGAGAGTAGTTAAGCCTCAGTTGCATGGTTTTACTTTTTGGCTAACAATTTCTCCATCATGCCCATCAGTGCTAGATGCCAAAGGCCTGGCTCGGAGCTTCTTTAACTGGCTTTGGGAAGTATGTAGCCAGTGGCAGAAGCAGGTGCCATTGACTGCCCAGGCCCCTCAGCGACAGTGGCTGGTCTCTATCCATGCCATCCGGAACACACGGCGCAAGATGGAGGATCGACATGTGTCCCTTCCCACCTTCAACCACCTCTTCGGCTTGTCTGTAAGTGTTGCACCTGCGGAGCCCAGGAACGGGCAGTATATCATGGGGGTACGGGGTTGACACAGAAGGTGGGGAGCCATGAGTGCTGAGAGAGCTACCAGCCAAAGCCGAATCTGGGGAAACACTGAGAAGTTGCTAGCTTAGGACTGAGTACTAGGCTCTCAGAGTGCCATCCTGCTGAGCCTGAGAAGCTAACTCACAGCACCAAGCTTCCAGGCACATTCCTATCCATGGCCAAAGACTAAACAAAGCCAACAGTTGGCCTGTGTTTTAATATAAAGAGGCCAAGTGCTAGGTTCAGACTTGAATTGCTGGCCCTGTACCAGCACACGCCTCCTGATATATCTTACCTTGGGTTATATCTGCAGTAGCCTGGTAGAGCTGGTGAGACTGAGACCTTCCCCATGCCTCCCTATTTGCAGTACTTGAGGAGTTTGACTTGTCTGATGGAAAGGGCATTGCCAGTTCTTCCAGATCCTACCTATCTTGAGTCTGTTTTGTTGCCTGAGGCTGGATCATTTATAAAATCACATTTCTTACTGCTACGGAGCCTGAGAGGAGGCCTTAGGTCCAGGGGCTGCATCTGAAGAGGGCCTTCAAGCTGATGGGGAACTCTGCAGAACACCAAAGCAGTGCAAGCCATCTCATAGCAAGATAGAACACATTTCCCAAGGAGAAAACTACTCGTTGATAGTCCATTCATGCCCAAGTGGATTGATCCCAATCATCTCCCAGAGATCTGGGGGGTTAGGTTTCCAGCATAAGATTGTGTTGTTGCAACCATAGTGCTGCCTTAGCTCCCCCCTGGAGAACACCCTTCCCCAGATGAGAGCAGCTGACTGGGGGTCTGACTCAGTTAGGTGCAAGGCCAATAGGTCAGACTCCCACTGGACTCCCACCAGGACTCTGTGGACCGTGCCTACTTTGCTGTGTTTGATGGTCACGGAGGAGTGGATGCTGCAAGGTATGCCTCTGTCCACGTGCACGCCAATGCTTCCCACCAGCCAGAGCTACTCACAGACCCGGCAACCGCCCTCAAAGAAGCCTTCCAGCGCACTGATGAGATGTTTCTCTGGAAAGCCAAGCGAGAGGTGAGAACTGGCAGCTGGGTCGAAAGTGCTGTTCGGGGAACTGTAGCTGTTAGCACCTGAAAGTTCTAGTCTCTATAGAGGAAGGAAAGCGAAAGTGGTTGGTGGCTCAGGAGGGAAGGGTCTCACCAAGCACTGCTGGCATTCGTACTATTTCATTGCTTCAGGGGTGGGGCTCAGTTTTCATTTGAATGGAGGCAGCTCAAAGCTTGTCTGTTGTACTAGTCTTGTTTTTCATCACCGTAACAAAATAATTGAGGTTGGGTCACTTTATAAAGACGGGTTTATTTTGACTCAGTTCGGGACATGCAAGGCAAGTGGCCTTCTTGATAATGGCCTTGCTAGTAGTATGCCATTGTAGCTGAGAGAGAGAGAGAGAGAGAGAGAGAGAGAGAGAGAGAGAGAGAACAGATAATGCATGTACACATGTATGGGTGTATATATGTATCTTCTGGCCTCTCTCCATCTCCCAAGGCCACCAGGATCTAACTGTGAGGAACCCTACCCTCTACCCTATCCATTCATGGCTTTATCCAGCCCCAGTTGCCTCCCAGCAAAGTCATCTTCCCCAAAACTATAGCTGGCATTTTTACCCTTCTAATATCTCATGATGGAAATTAAGTTATAGCACATAAAGCCTTAGGGCCTGCGAACCACAGCACTCCTGGGCCACCATGCTGGATCTCCACAACATGGACAAGGTCTGCCAGCCTAGCAGAGGGCTGCCTGACTTAAGATACAAGCTGGTTCCTTCAGCTGAGCATGGTAGGATGGCAGGCGAGTACTTAAAAGAATCGATCACTTACAGCTTCCCTGGGCCAGAGACACAGGGAAGAGAGGCAAGCCTGGTTTCCTAGGAATCTAAGTGCCAGCCAGCTCAGTACTGGGCACCCTGAATTACCTGTGCTAGTCCAAGCTAGCCTGTGCCAGGAGAACTGGGGCCCTGTAGGTGAAGGAGGTGGCTTTGGGGGCATGGGCTCCAGACTGTCTGGCATGCCTGCAAAAGGCAATACTAACAGAGCAGGCTTTTGTGTCACTAAAAGTTCAGCAGCTCTGAGAGTGCTGGGCTCACCAAGATCAACAAAGCCCCAGATATCAGTTCATCTAAAAACAAGCCAAGCAAACAGGAAATATAAACCATGACTAACAAACTGACCCAGTGCCCCTTGTTCAGCCAGTTCTCTTCTTAGAGTGACAGTATGTGTAGGGATGAGGCCCTTATCTATATTTAAAAAAAAAAAAAAAAAAAAAAAAAAAAAAAGACAATGGGCCTCTCCTCTGTGACCTAAAGCCGGCCTCAGTGGGCCCTCCCGGCAGCAGCAAGGACAGGGTAGCCATTTTAAACATTGAGACCCTGATGCTTAGACAACTTAAGAAACCAACTCCAGAAATGGGTCTGTGGGGCCTGCACTCAGGCCAACACAGTCCTGCAACACATGCAAAGAGCAGATGGCCACTGGCTAACAGTGAGCAAGGAAGCCACACTGCCCAGAGTCTGGAAGATCTCAGGCCTGGCCAGAGCTTTTGTGGTAGAGGCCACCCTCGAATAACAGAACTCTGGAGAGAGATTCTCAGTCATCATACAGTGACCAAATGACCTCAGAATTTCTGTTTCTCAACAGAAAGCTATGGAACGTCTAAAACTCTAGGGGGAGCCTAGTGGCCTCTGTCACATCCAGCAGGTGAAGCAGGCCATGAGATTAGGGTTACCCCTCAATAGAGGAAAAAGTTTCTTAAGTAGGTGTTTAGTTTCCTTCCCTCTCTTCCTTCTCGCTCTGGGGATCAAACCTAAGGGCCTTGAATGAGTAACACAAGTGGTGTACCACTAATCTACACTTTCAGCCACTTTCTTCTTCCTGTTTTGGTTTTTTGAGACAGGGCTTCTCTGTGTAAACAGTTCTGGCTGTCCTGGAACTCACTTTGTAGACTAGGCTGGCCTTGAACTCACAGAGATCCACCTGCCTCTGCCTCCGAGTGCTGGGATTAAAGGCGTGCGCCACCACTGCCCAGGCACTTTTATCTTTTTATACAGATTTGCTGAGATGCAATTTGAGTATATGTTGTATTTGTTTACGGTATACAGCTGGGGAAGTTTTGACTTACACATGCACTCATGAAGACCTGCCTAAATATTGATCATGCCTGAATATTCTTCCTGCTCTTTGTGGTCCTTGCCCCATTCCTGCCCTTCCATGCCTGTTCCCACTCTCAGTAGTCTGCTTCCTGCCACTGTAAGCCATCTTGCCCGTTCTAGCATAGGGTATGAAGGGGTTCCTGTAGGACCTGCTCTCTCCAGACAGCATGAAAATGACATAGTCCGGGGGCTGGAGAGATGGCTCAGAGGTTAAGAGCGCTGACTGCTCTTCCAGAAATCCTGATTCAATTCCCAGCAACCACATGGTGGCTCACAACTATCTGTAATGAGATCTGGTGCCATCTTCTGGTGTGCAAGCATGCATGCAGATAACTGTATACATACAAATAAATAAAATCTAAAAATAAAAAAAGAATTATAGCATGAAATCAAGTCATACATTAAAAAAAAAAAAAGAGGACTGGAGAGATGGCTCAGAGGATAAGAGCACCGACTATTCTTCCAGAGGTCCTGAGTTCAATTCCCAGCAACCACATGGTGGCTCAAAACCATCCATTATGAGATCTGGTGCCCTCTTCTGGTGTGCAGATATACATGGAAGCAGAATGTTGTATACACAATAAATAAATAAAATCTTTAAAAAAAAAAAGAAAGAAAGAAAATGACATAATCCATAAGTACAACTGTGGGGTCCTTTGTGGAGGTTCACCTTCCTCCTCAGCCCTCAAATCTACATGGTTCTCCTTCTGTCCCTACAGCGACTACAGAGTGGCACTACAGGTGTGTGTGCACTCATCGTGGGAACAACCCTGCACATAGCCTGGCTAGGAGACTCCCAGGTCATCCTGGTACAGCAGGGCCAGGTAGTGAAGCTGATGGAGCCACACAAACCCGAGCGACAGGTAAGGGGCACCCTTCATCCTAGCTTAAGACAGTCTCAAGCCCCTGCTGTGCTGGACCCCAGTTGGGGACCCAAGTCTAGGGACTTAACGGGGAAGTGGAATGCCAGGAGGTCCCAGCTCCATATTGTTGGGGTAAACTAAAAATGACAAAAGGTCCAGAAGACTCCCAGTGCTCCTGCAGTAGGAGAGTTCCTTTGCCTGAAGGGGTCCCATGGGAGCCCTTCCTGGGAGCCCAGAGGTTCAGGCAAGAACAGGGCCTTGTGACCTAACAGGTAAGCCCAGAAATGGAGCCTGTGCTCAGGCCAGCACAGGATCCTGCAACACTGACAGGCAAATGGATGGCCACTGGCTGAGAGTGAGCAAAGAAGCCACACTGCCCAGAGTCTGGAAAACCTCATGCCTGGAGCTTCAGTAGGTAGAGGCCACCCTGGAATAACAGAACTCTAAAGTCACTCTTGAGTCTTGAGGTCCTCACCTTGGACATTTGAGTTACAGATGCTCAGATACTGGTCTCACAAACGTGTATAGACTGTCTCCTAGAGTCAGAAAGGGAATGCTTAGAATCAAGGGATGCCTATGCACCACCTCCCCCAACCCTGCTTTCCCCATACTCCTCTCTGCTTTGTGTCACGGAATTGTACAGCTGGGACCTCCCCTCATTGACACATAAAGCACCCACCCTTTCTTGCAGACACATAGAATGGTCTTCCTTTCCCAGTCCAGTTCCCAAGTCAAGACATGCACCAGGTTTCTCTTCTTCCCACTCTGAAATGTGGCAGCAATAACTGTGTGCATCACATGGTCCAGGCTAAGGTATCTCTGCACAGCAGGCTCTTAGGAGCAAGGATGCTAAGTCACGGTAGACAAACTGCAGTCTTGGAGATTTGCCCAGCTTCTGTCTTCAGCCTGGACCAGCCTAAGCTGAGCACTGCTCCTGAGAGGCCATTGTCCAGTCTCACCAGTCCATGGAGTCTGTCCATCTGTTTCCTGACATTTCATGGAGAGAAATAAACAAGCACCTGTTCACTCTAGCCCAGACTCACTTCTCCCAAGTCTAGTGGGTGAACCAGGAGTTTATTAGGATTACTTACAGATAACTGCACCATGGAAAAACCTGCCCCAGGCTCATGAAGGCTTCGTCCCTGCAGCTTCCTGTACAACATTCTGGGCCCCCCAGACCCTAAAAGTCCAGGGAACTTTTCTCCTTCCAAAAGGGTCTATTTCAGTTGGAAGGAAATCATTGCAACACCAGCTGGAAGGCAAGGATACCTCCTTTTCCCTTCATGTTCTCTTTCAGAGTGAGTTTTAGTCTCTTCATTTGTTTCTTTTTTAGGTGGGTTCTCCCTATGTAGCCCAACCTGACTTCAAACTTGAGACAGTCCTGCCTCTGCCTCTCTGCCTCTCTGCCTCTCTGCCTCTCTGCCTCTCCGGTACTCGGATTGCAGGTGTGAGCTACCACACCCAGCCTTTCAGGGTAAATTTGAATATATTTTGTTGTTATTGAGATTGTATTACTTTTATGTACATAAGTGTTTGCCCACATGTATGTAATCTACATTTGTACCCGGTAGCTGCAAAGATCTGGAGAGTGCCAAGATGCCCCAGAACTGGAGTTACTGGAGGTTATGATCCACCCTGTGGGTGCTGAGAACTGAACTCAGGTTTTCTACAAGAGCAGCCATGCTTTTAACCACTAAGCGTCTCTCCGGCTTTTGAACATCTTCTCAGAAGTTCATGATCATTGCATTCTTTACTGCGTGTACTGTGTCTGTCCTCTGCCTGTTTTTTTGGGGGTTTTTTGTTTTGCTTTGTTTTGTTTTTTATGCATTGACTGTGGGCACTACAGCCATGTTAGGGGAGTCAGCTCCTCCCTGGGGACTTGGACATGTTCCCCACACATTCCTCTTTTGTCATGTTAGGACAGGTAACAGGCAATGTCGTGGCTGCTGGTTTGAGAGGCACATGTGTTCATGCTAGTGTATAGAAGAGAGAACCAGAGTTCAGAAAGGTTCAGTCACTTGCCTAGAGCATGTATCTAAAGTGGTAGCCTCTGCCACTCTGTTTCCACCACAACCACAAAGGATTGTCATCTGTTCCCCGGCAGGCCCTCTTCCCCCTGGACAGGTAAAATATAGCCAGGTCTGAATGAGTGCCGACCTTTGCTCAGGGGCTGAATATTCTGTTTCCCCCCTGTAGGCTGTGTTCTATAACCCATTTTTTCCACCCAGTCCTGAGCCCTGTTTGGTCCTAGCTTGACCCTTCTGAGCCTCTGGGCTTGTCTGTCAGGCAGGGTCCCTTGGTAGTATGGGATGAAGATGGAATTAGTGCCTGCACATGAGAAGCACATATGTAGCCTGCCAGAGCCAAGGTCAGACCCCAGTTCATTCCCCATCTTGCCAGCTCTTGTCTGTGATCCCTGTCACTGCCTGCCAGCTTCTGGGAAAGCAGTTAAACATCTGTATAAAGACTCCTGCTAAAGCCAGAGCCACAACAGGAACACATGAACCTGACAGCATGGGAGCTTCAGAGAGGGCCCAGAAACCCTCAGTGACTCTTGAGGGTTATGTGGGGACTTGTGCTGATATCCTATCCTGCAGTTGTCTGAACAGAGCCCATCCCACCCCTGGGCTCAGTTTAGGTCAACTGACATTCAGTGTCTACTTAATAAGATGCTTTCCTGAAGCAGCAAGCTAATAAAACAAGACCCAGTACCCTCTGCCCAGGCACTCTGTTTGGGGGAGAAGCTGGGCATAGCAGTGAGGGTGCAAGACCCAGGTCAAGTACATAAGGCATGGACTGGATCATAAAGACGGATGTGACGCAGCAAGACAGTGGTGAGAGAGCGAGCAGGTTATGCACACTGACCTGCAATTACTCAAACTAGAGTGGAAAAACGCTATAAGGAGTCACTACCAACCCTCATCATGGCCAGGCCACTAGAGGGCAGGCTGGGGTCTGGTCTCAAAAGAGTGGGGCTGAGGTTGTCAATGGCATCTGCGGTTACAGATGGGTGGCCTCAGAAGGGAAGAATCCAGGCTTTGGGGAGGTACGGAAAGTACCTTAGGAGTGCTGAGACCTTGCTGAGTGCAGCCTGATGCCAGGGAAAGGGGTACTGTGGCGGTTAATAGCAACTGCTGAGCCATCAGGCTTCAGCTGCAGAGAGGCTGTTTCGGGAGGTAGGGAGGATAAAGCAGGAGGAACTAAGGGGAGGGCGTCAGAAGAAACAGGCAAGGATGGTTGGCTTGCACCAGAACAAGGCTGTGATCAGTACAGACTGAGGAGGGATCCAAAAAAGGGAAGAAGGACCAAGATAGGACCAAGGTTACAGCACCAAGCTCCACAAGGCCAGCCAGCTCAGCACATTACTCTAAATCCTGGTGCAATTGCCTGTCATGGGAGGCAGGGAGAGTCACTGGCCCTGGTGCCCTGCTCAGTCCTGTTCCTACAGCCAAATATCTCAGGACCTGGAGCTTCAAAAAGGAGAGTTCTGCAACTTAGAAGCCTCATGGAGGCTCTGCCCCAAGGAAGGTGTGAGGTCAGGTTTATAAAACAAGTGAAATGGGGATGTGAGTGACCTCTTTCAGCCAGAGGTACCTTGCCCCAGAGAGCACAAGGCATGCACCCAGCCTATAACACCAGCCTCCAGGAGACAAACTACATCTGGGAGGCCTCTCCTCAGAGGGGACTGACAGGACCAAAGAGAGTTTCAAATTACTTGTGACTAAACCAAGCCTCTGCCTATCCCCTTGCAGTCAGGGTTGGAATACCATGACCCTCTAGCAAACAGACAATGCCTAGGAGTGAGCAGGGAGAGGGATGACCAAGGGCTGCACATAGGGCTGCCTTTTTGTGGCCTGGCTCCAGTGTGTCTCCTACTGTGTGGCCTTCTATACATGGCACATACTTCACCCAGCAGTTTTCAAAGTAGACACAGAAGCCCCAGGTTAAAGTTGAAGGATCTGACCTCCGAGTATGAGCTAACACCAGTCTCCTGTCCCAAGAGTACCTTCTTGACACAAACACTGCTTAGAGATGCATCATGGGTGCCATGGATGACCCTTCTCTGCTGCCCCATTACTTGATTAACCAACAATTCCCACAACTAAAAGATAGTGCAGTTAGTTATAGTTGACCCTGTTTTTCATGATGTCTGATTTAGATATGTAGCTTGACTAGGTTCAAGTGCCTTGGCTTTAAGTGTGTCTTAGTCACTTAAGTTCTACTTATATAGTAATATTTGAGTTCCCCACCCCCACCCAAGTCCCCACCTAATGACTGTCTCCTGCAGGATGAGAAAGAACGTATTGAAGCACTGGGTGGCTTTGTTTCTCTCATGGACTGCTGGAGAGTCAACGGGACCCTGGCAGTGTCTAGAGCCATTGGTAAGGGGGTACACCAGGGCCACTGGGGGGGGGGAGCACAGGCTTATTCAGTTGACTTAGAGCTGAATAATGTTGCCTGAAGTACTCACAGCCTATAGACCTAGATGTGCAGTGAGCTGCCTCCAAATAAACCATGATAAACTGAAAACACTGTATTCAGAATGTGACCCGCCCAACCTAGTGGAGCCCAGCTTGGCACAGTCTAGGGGAGTGTCAGTAGTTGCCTCCAGGATCCCAGCTGATTATAAGCTGCAGTTCTCTGCTGCTTCCTCAGCACTGAGAGTGTTGGAGCAGGTCGCTCTACCCAGGAGAGGCTCAAGTTCAGGGTGTAGTTTCTGTTGACCGAATACCAACACACACTATAAAGTCCAGAAATTATTAAATAAGAGTGGTTTGTTCGGTAAAATGCCTGCCTAGCATGCACAAAGTCCTGGGTTCAGTTCCCACTTGTGCGATCCTTAAATCAGGCATGCTGGCCTTCAGGAGATAGGTGGAGGAGAATCAGAACTGCAAGGTTATCCTGGGCTACATAGGATGTTTTAAGCCAGCCTGGGCTAGAGATCTTGACTGCAATAATAATAAAGTAGAAACAGAAAATCAGGATCCTCTATAGCCCCCCCCCCCAAATACAGAAAAAAAAACCCTTAGCCACTAATTGTTCTTTTCTTACCCACAAAACAATGTTCAAAATCCATTTTCCTCTTGGAAAATAGCTTTCCACTTTTCTCTGTATGCCACCACTGCTGGGACCCAACTCAGAGACTACACCTTCTGACAACCCACCTCCATCTAGTCACTGGGAGTCTGGCATCTGCCCTTCTCACCTCCTGTAGTCTCTCTTGGCTCCTTGCTCACAGCTATCTTTATACACTGGAGCTATTTATCTCTGGACACGCTGTAGGCGGCAGCCATTCCTGGAGCTAGAACTGCTCCTGTGGAGCTGGGGGATGATGATTCTGCTCCTGGGAGAGTGGAAAGCACTAGGCAGGTGGCCCCTGGAGAGCCAGCTGCACCTATGTGTAGGCTTTGCATCTGCATGCCCTTGGGGATGGAGATAGGAGGTTAATCCTGGGTGTGAAGACACTCTGTCTGTCCATTCCAGGGGATGTCTTCCAGAAGCCCTATGTGTCTGGCGAAGCAGATGCAGCATCCCGAGAACTAACAGGCTCAGAAGACTACCTGTTGCTCGCCTGTGATGGCTTCTTCGATGTGGTCCCCCACCAGGAAGTTGCGGGTCTTGTCCACAGCCACTTGCTCAGACAAAATGGTAGCTGGCTATATGTTGCTGAGGAGCTAGTGGCTGTGGCCCGTGACCGGGGCTCCCATGACAACATTACAGTCATGGTAGTCTTCCTTAGGGACCCCCAAGAGCTGCTGGATGGTAGAGCCCAGAGAACAGGGGATGCCCAAGCAGATATAGGAAGCCAGGACTTGCCTACTGGCCTCTCAGAACTTGAGACCAATACCTCACAGAGAAGCTAAGTGGTCCAGGCCCCCGGGCCCCATCCTGACCCCTCTTCCCATGTGATCCTCCCTTCAAAGACATTAGATCCAACAAGTATAGTGGGCAGGGGTGCATGCCCTCACAGCATTCCCTTAGCACCCCAGTCCTTCATGCCTCCTGCCAGTCTGTCCCCAGAACTGCAGTAGGCAGTAAGTGGCTCTCAGAAGGAAGCATAGGACAATGACCTCACCAAAGAGAAGATGGCTGCAGACAGAAACCAGGCACCTGTTGGCAGCCTAAGCAAAAACACAGGTCAGGTCTTAGGAGACCCTCCCACAGACCTTTTAGGCCCATCCTGGGGTTAGGTCTGCAGCCAGGTGTCTGGCCCAGTCTTGTGACTTCTCACTGTACCCAAGGCTGGGAGGGTTTGGTCTGTACTGACAGACAGGCTCGCAGTCCTGATTGACTACTGACTTCCCCAAAAGGAGACATTGGCCTTGCTGGGAGAAGCACCAGGGGACTGGCCCACTGCCACTCTTAACTGAGTTCTAAGGCCATTGGGGTCTCTTAGACCTCTCCTTCCCTTGAGCATCTTAGGGAGGTGAAGTCAGGTGTGTGTGTGTGTGTGTGTGTGTGTGTGTGTGTGTGTGATGTTGTTTGTGTGCTTAGATTTATTGCAGGGAAAGGTCTAATCCAGAATCAGTGTTCAGGTTTTATCGTGTTTTATCAGTGCCAAGCTGACCCACAAGGTCGTGTAATTTAAGCTAAGCTTAGCATTTATTTTATTCCTGAAAACTTAAGTATTTTACTTTTTTTATGTATTCATGAAGACATTTGCAGTATTACTGAATTTTTTTTTTTTTTTTTTTTTTGCCTAAATCAGGATGGAAAGAAACTTTTCCAGGTTGTGTTAATAAGCCACTTAAGTGCCTTAAATAGCTTTGGCGTGGATGAGAGCTGCTGGGCCCACCATGGATCCTACTAGGCAGACATGTTCAGGTTCTCAGAAAGGCAGCGTTGGTTGTGGGATGGCATGCTTTGGGCTAGCACTCTTTCTGGGAAGCTTCCTTTGTATTCTGGGCACCTCAGAACTTCCTTGAAGTGATTATCAGAGGCTGTGACTGGGCATCTGGGGTGACAGTGACCTCCTTGCCCACCCTTGGAGTCTGGCTGGATCCCAACTAGGAAGATCATTCTGCTCTTACACTAGAAGTTTCAGAATCTCTTAGTATTCTTGTAGTGTCATTGAGGACAGTGCATAGTTAAGGAACTTTGGGAAGCCCCGCAGTCTACCTCCTCGGGAGGCTGCTAGCATCTGCCGCAATGGTCACCACCTGTCTCCTGTGGCTGGTATCCCTCCCTGTTGGACTCTGTCCTCTACCTGAGCAACATGAAAGACCTCCACATCCCTAGAGCAGGGGCAATGAAGACTCACCAATGATGCCTGGGTGCTTGGAGAGCTGTGATGTATAAAATCAGGCAAGGAAACCAGACGTGGGGGGGGGGGAGCACCCAGAGTAGAAGGACTAAGGAGGCCCCCAGAGAGGGCCAGTGTGAGTCAAGGCTGCTCCATGCAGACACCAGCAGGTCCAGAGGATAATGAGTGGCTTAGCAGAGGCACTGTGAGGTCCCCATGGAGAGGGTGATAGCATAGCCCACCAGTGGAGAGCACAGCCTCAGCAAGGCTTGCAAAGCTTGACTCAGTGCACTTAACCCTCTCAAAAGAAGCAGGGCACACATGCTTTGCCCCTGAGGCAAGTCCACTGTCCAGCAGTGTGGGAGGAGGAGCCAGCTTTGGTTGGGCACACCACCTGTATGCTTGGCATTTACCCACTCCCACAGCAGGGGTGGAGAAATTCAGGCCATGTAGTTAATTCCTTGGTCAAAGTCTCCTGATGGAAGCATCCTAAACACTTAGATGATTGCCCACCATTATTAGGTGTTGCTCAACTGGAAGGCCTTGTGTCCTCTTAGAACAGGGGTGTGGTGGTTGGTCCAGCCTGCTTGTAGCAATGACCTTGATAGAGGGAGATAATGACATTGGTTTTCTCCCTTTTTTGCTAATCTTATTCTGTTCATTGCTGGTAAGAGTGGAAATTAGGCCCACATAGATGTCCCTTGATGGTCTGATTCATGCTCGCATATAAGGTTGTGCCAAGATGCCTAGGCCTCAGTGTAAAGGGAAGCCCCTTTCCCAGGCTTCTCTAAATGCCTCCTCCCTCCCCTCAGTCCATCTGCAGTACTGATCGCCAAGCCCCTGCTGGGCAGTAGTCCAGGACCAATGCTAGGCACTGTTCCTTCCTCTCCTAGTGGCCAAGGGAGAGCACATTCTCCTGCTGTTGAGGGCTGGCCTTATGCTAGTTCATAGACTGTTCTATCCTGATTGGAGCTGCCATTATCTAGCCTATAAGACTCTTGGCTACTCCGTCTTCAGGCTCTCATCCCAAGAGGATCCCCTAGCCAGAGTGATCCCATTTCTTAAACCCCAGCTTTGCCACCATCTCAATGCATGAACTGAACAAGGCACTGTACCTCTCTGGCCTCAGTTACCCTTTGGTAAGGCATGGAGGGGGTGCACAGTGTCACCAGTCCCCCCAACTTAGAATTTCAGAGGTACAGGGGCTGCTCAAGGCCTCTGTCAGAGCAGAAGAGCCCATCCTCCACCGCCAGTAGAGAGGGTTAAGTATTATTAGTGTCTATTCTTAAAATTAAGTGGGCTGGAAAAGAGCTGAGTTACAGATGCCAGTGTCTTGCTTGGATACAAAAGCTAAAGCAGTCAGACCGCCTCCTAGCTAAGCCCGTAGGAGTAAGAGGTGGGAGGGCACAGGCAGGCTTTAAGGGTTTTAGTTAGAAACCAGCATAGGAAGGGGTGTGGAAGCAGGGTACCTGCAACACAGCTTTGAGAGTCTCGGCACTCATGGAGAGGTCTTGGAAAAGTCCCTGCCGTTCACCGTGAGGTCTGCCCTGCTCTGCCCTCTTGGGTCCTGCATGCAGTGCACCCTCACCCCATGGCAGGTCTCAGCATAGGTGTCCTGGCTACCTCAGCTGTATTCTCAGGGCCAGGAGGGCAGCCCTGGCCATACTGTAGGGAAGCCAGGCCAACTTGTGTAAAGCAAGCTGTGTTTCTGGCTTGATCCTGCCTCTGTAGCCTCCAGGGATCATCTTCGGGAGTCCTGTGCTTGCTTTCACTCGACTCAACAGCTTTACCAAACACACTGAGCTTTGCTATTTACCAGCCGTGTGGGCCTTGCCAAGGGGTTATTTCAGGGGGCTTCCTGGGAGTCATATGCAACAGTGAGTCTTGTTCTAAGATACCATGTTTCTCTAATCTTAGGGACAAGTCCCAGGATGATGAACTCAGAGGGAAAGTCTCCTGGGCCCATTGTACTGGTGTCAATAAACTGTATATTCAAGATTCCTGAGTACCATGTGCATCTGAGTGTCTGTCTGTAGTTACTTCTGTATCGCCGACAAAATACTTAACAGAAAAGGTTTAAAAAGGAAGGTGTTGGCTAAAGGTATTCTAGACGGTTCAGCCTATGGTTGATCCCATGTGCTTGCACAGGACATGGTGGCAGGGGCATGTGACAGACTTCATGGGTGTCTACCTCAAAGCCAACCCAGGAAGTGTGAGGAGGTAACAGGGACCCACACCAAGTGATTGGCTTCCTCAAGCCAAGTCCTGCTTGCTGTTTTCTGAAGTTTCCCAAAATAGTACCAACCGCTCAGGACCAAGCTCTGAAAATATGAGCCTTCGAGAGATGTTTTGGTTTCAGGACCCTCTTGGTGTCCAGAGTATGTTTTGAAGCTGCTGGGGGAATGAATACCTAGCCAGCTGGTCCTAATTGTCTTCCTGACACTGTCCCACCAGCCATGGGGACAGTAAAGAGGAATGGGGTCTCTCGGGATCTCCAGCAGTATCAGTGGTGCCTCACCATAGCCAAGAGCCTGCAATGGCTCAGGTGTTTGTCCACTGAGACCCCCACCTGCTGCCTGGCACTCTTCTTCCTGCACATAGGGTCTTCGAACAGGACAAGGGCAGGGGCTCTCAGCAGAGGGTACACAGTGGGGAATATGGCTGCTGAGCCCTGGGTGAATGTACTAAGCTCTCACACTGGTTTCTGAGGCAGGGTTATGAAACATTCTTTTTCCTTATTTAGGTTTTCCCCTAAGTTCTGTTTTCTTAATACAGTAAACATGCTTTTGTTTTCAGTCAAATTTTATTTCAGTAGAACAAATGAATATTAAAATACTGTATTTGGGGGTATATTATCTCAGATACCCAAATGAATTAGATACTTTCACATTATTGTGATAAAAAAAAAACCAATAACAACAACAAAACCCTGACAAAAAGCAAGTGATGGAAGAAGGTGGGGAAGACATGTCAGGAGCATGAGGTCAGCCCAGCATCCTGGAAGAGCAGATCTCATCCACACAGAGGAAGCAGGAAAAAAACCAGAAAGTGGGGCCAACTATTAGCCTTCAAAGTCCACCTCCAGTGACCCACTTCCCCCAGCAAGGTCCCAAACAGTTCCACCAGCTGAGGACAAGTGTTCAAATACACAAGCCTGTGGGGTGCAGCTCTGGCTGTCCTGGAACTCCTGTAGACCGGCCTTGAACTCACAGAGATCCATCTGCCTCTGCCTCCTCAGTGCTGGGATTAAAGGTGTGTGCCACCACTGCCCGGCATGGGGTGCATTTCATATGCAGCCACAACACCAGATAATCTTAAAACACCCATTAGAAGTCTTTCACTAAGGGGAGTCATAAAGAGCTTGGTGTTGCTATGGGAACAAGCTGCAGCACAGTCAGGATTTACACACAGTTCCATGACTGAATCCAGTCAAAAAGGTTTTGTTTGCTATGTCTAGAAACCATTTTTTGCCAAGAGCAACTGAGGTATCTGACTCATGGAGAGCATGCTTTAGGCCGGGCAGTGGTATCACATGCCTTCAGTCCCAGCACTCGGGAGGCAGAGGCAGGTGGATCTCTGTTAAGTTTGAGACCAGTCTGGTCTACAAGAGCTAGTTCCAGGACAGGCTCCAAAGCTACACAGAGAAACTGTGTCTTTAAAAAAAAAGAAAGAAAAAGAAAAATCATTAGAGCAGGTGGCCTTTAAGAGAGACATGCGTGGATCCACCCAACTCCTCATTTGACTCGAGACCTGCAGCCTTCTATTCCTCCACAATGACTTCCAGCTCACCTTGGGGCCTCACCCACTTTGGGGACAGCCAACAGCTAGCTAGAGTGGGATTTGCTCCCCGAGGCCTCAGCTGCAGTAAGTACATGCAGAGTGACACAGGGAACCTGCTCTTCCGGACATCTGAAAGCCTTCTCTGTGCCCATTGGGGTCAGTACATCATTTCAAGTCAAGATGACTGAGAAGCCACCAGTGGCAGGGCTCAATCTAGCCATGTAGCAGACACTAGCCTGACATGTGTAATGCAGCTCCTGATGCTGGGATGAGGGAGCCCACAAAGCCAGCCACCAAGTCTCCACCAACAATGGAAGATACACTGCCTGCCAAGTCTCCAGTGGCAACTCTTCAACCCAAGGAAGAGGTGATTTTCAGGATCCCTAACTGTAGTTTCTATCAATTGGTTTGCAATTCCTTCGTCAAACAGGAAAAGAAAGCGGGCAGCCTCAGCAGCAGCAGCCTCAGGGACCCAAAGAGAACATTAAAACTGCCTACATGAAGCACAGCCTCAAAATGCCAGCGAGGATAGGAGGGGGTCATCTGTAGGCAAATGCCATAAGGAAACCTGTTACTGTACAGACTATTAAAAGCCAAAAGCCCTTCCAATAAACCTCACTCTGCCTTTTAAAATGTCCCAAACTAATCCCTAGAACTAGGAGAGGCCCTTGTATCTAGGAGGCCCTTGTATCTAGGCCTGCAGCATCCCTTCCTCCCCAGCACTGTCTCAGCCCAGGCCAGGTCCACTCTGCCTGGGCCTCTGGGCCTCTGCTGCTCCCCAGTGTCTGCCTTGTTTCCCCCAGCCCTTCCCCAGTCACCCAGACTGGCCCTTCCAGGGCTGCAGATCATGCCTCATGGAAGGCACCCTCATCTGCTGCTGTTTAGCCTGGGGAATGGTAATGTGGATGCTGGGGCTGGGGTGTGGCAGAGCCAGGCAAAGAAACGGGAATTCTTTTTTTCTTTTCTTTTCTTTTTTTTTTGTTCTTTCACAAATGTACATAATGCACACCCTCCTACAACCCACCCTCTCACCTCTCCCTACTACCCTGTAAACCACTCCTCTCCCCTACAAATCTCTTTTCTCTGACTAGTGGGCTGGTGCCTAGCCTGTCCCCAAAACTCCCTGCCCCCAGAGGACACAGCTGCCCACTAGGCAACAAGCCCAGAAGAAGATAATGCCAACATGCAAATCTGGGGGTTCCTGCTCAGGCCCTGCCCCCCTGCTACCCACGCATCCATCTGTCTTCCCCTCCCTCCACCCACACAACTCCTCCAGAGCTCCTGGCAAAGCCTCCTTAAGTATATGCTGCCTTACTGTTCCCTGATGAGTCGTCTCGTGTATCTGAATCTCCAGATGGTGGTTTGCACTCCCCCTGTCCTCCAATTGCATGTAGCTTGACACCCTCTCTCAGAGCCACCAGATGGGAGTGGGTGAGGCCTGAAGCACAAGTAAGGTGTGATGGGCAGAGAGGTGCAAGCTGGAGGTACTTCACCCAAGTGACCAAGCTCCCAGGATAGGGCAGGGGATAAGTGTCAGACTTGGCCAGGAAGAGAGCTGGAGCTGCAGTCTGCTAGGGTAGGTAGGATTGGACCTTATTTATGTCCACTCAATGAGGGCTTCCTTCTGAGGAAGGGAAGCTGAAAGCCAGGTTTCTGGGCAGGAATCCTGGCTAGCAAGAGGATATCCAACTCAATTACACATCTCCCACACTCGAGTCCTGCATACCCATCTCAGCCTCATCAGCTTGTCTGAGACCCAGATGGGCTTAGGCCAGTCAAAGATAGGTCAAAAGAGGACTTGAGATGGGACCGTTGGCATATAGGTCACTATGGAGCCATAACCCCAGCACTTAGGAGGCCAAAGAAGAGGAGGAAATCTCAAGACCAGACTGGCCTTATATTGGAGGACCTTGTTTCAAAAATTCAAAACAAGAGGCTAGGGAGACAGCTCTCCTGGTGAGGTGTTATTGCCTTGCAAGCGAGAAGACTTGAGTTCAGTCCTTGGAATCCAGGATTTTAAAAAGCCAGACTTTATGGTGTGTGTCCCAGAACTGGGGAGCCAGACAGGAGGATTCCTGGGGTTCTTTAGCCAGCTGGCTGTATTAGTTTTTTTTAGAAGAACAGAAGAAATAGAATGAATATATATTAAAGGAGATTTATTAGATTGACATATATATTTATTAGATTGACTTTAGATTGGGTAGTCCAACAATGGCTACATCACACCATAAAGGTCAAGAGTCTGGCAGTTGCTCATTCATGAGGGCGGGTTGCCTGCTAGCTGCCAGTCTTCAGTCTGCAGTAGAAGCCTTAAAAAGCTGGTTCTGATATCAATAAGGAGTATTGCAGTTGCAGCAACAGAACAGATGGATTTGCCAGCAAGAATGAAGGCAAGCAGGCAAAAAGCAAGCTTCCTTCTTCCCTCTTCCTTTTATCTAAGTTGCCACCAGAAGGTGCCACCCACATTTAGTATGAGGGTTTTTTTTCTTCATTTTAAATAATCTAACCAAGAAAACCCCTCAAAGAGAGATGATGGGGTACAGTTTTAATCCCAGCACTCGGGAGGCAGAGGCAGGAGGATTTCTGTGAGTTCAAGGCCAGCCTGGTCTACAGAGGGAGTTTCAGGACAGCAAGAACTACATGGACTATCTCACAAAGAAAGGAAAGAATGAAAGAAGGAAAGGGAAAAGAAAGGAGAGGAGAGGACGGAAGGGGATGAGAGGAGGAGAGGGGAAGGGGAAGAGAGGGGAGGGAAGGGGAGAAGAGGGGAAGGAGAGAAGAGGGGAAGGGAGGGGAGGGAAGGGGAGGAGAGGAGAGGAAAGGGGATGGGAGGGGAGGGGAGAGGAGGGAAGAGGAGAGGAGGGGAGGGGAGGGGAGAGGGAAGGAGAGGAGAGGAGAGGAGGGGAGAGAGGAGGAGTGCCCAGCACTTAGTTGATAGCAGATCATCCATCCCAACAACCTAGCACACTTGGCAAGTTCTGGGTCAGTGAGAGACCAGCTCTCAAGACAAAACAATAAATAGGAAAGGTGGGTGGCATTTGAGGAATGACACCTGAGGTAGTTCTCTCTCTCTCTCTCTCTCTCTCTCTCTCTCTCTCTCTCTCTCTCTCACACACACACACACACCACGCATGCCAAAACAAAAGTTATTTTACCTAGCAATAGCCTAAAGCAGAGCGTTGAGGCAGAGGCCCTGTTGGGAGCATATTGAGTGAAGACCTGCTGGGG